CGAGCATCGTGCTAGATATCGAAGCACTCGTCAAAAATTTTTTTTTTGATTTAATATTCTCATTTTGTTTAGCATCATCGAAAACCTCTAAATCCAAATTTTTAGCGCATTTGGTTGAGCTGGTGAAAAGTTAGCTCAATTTTACTGTCGAGCGCTCACAATGATATTTGAAAAATATCATCAAAAATCGTTCGTATAAAGTGAAGTTTTTTTCGATGACATTAATTTAATGAAATTTTTCGTGCAATAAACCAAATGATAGAGCATCGAAAGCTGAACAAAATTTACCTATTTACAAATTATACTTCAATATGCTGATCGAACGTTATTTCTGAAATACTGTCTAAGGTTGACGAGTTTTTGAATAAAAAATATGTCAATTTTTTTAGTATATTAGCTGCCATTTAGTCATTTTAAAAGTCTCCATGCTGAATTTCACATATGTTGTACAACTTTTTCTCCTCTACAAAAGGGTGTGGGTGTGGGTGGGTGTGGGTGTGGGTTGGTGTGGGTGGGGTGTGGGGTGTGGGTGTGGGTGTGGGGTGGCTGGGGTGTGGGTGTGGGTGTGGGTAGGTGATGAAGAGAAGACCCACACCCACACCCACACCCTTATCGAAATGTTATTTATCATATTGATATAAATGATCATTTTAAAAAATATTTTCATATGAATATTAGTACACAATATCAACATATACCATTTATGACACATTATAATAAATTGAACGATTACGTAAATCATAACAAAAAATAATTAAAATGTTTTATCTTTTTTTTTTCCTTTTCATTTAGATATTAAAATATATTTGCCTGGTTCTTATATAAATTCACGAGATTGTCGACCAGTTATTGTTACATTATCAAATTTTGATGAATTATTTGTTTATTATTTTGAAGAAGATTCTCATATAAATATACATAATGTTGATCTTATTAAATATTGTTCAAGGTAATATTGGTTCTATTTTTATTTCTAATTTATACTTTAGATTATGGATAAATCTATGTCACTTTCTTTTTTCTATAATATTCTTCATTATTTGAAGCACATTAGTATAATAATATAGAAATATATGTCATAGTAGAGACATATATAATAAACATATATCGGCTTTGTTTTCTAAACAATAGGAAAGAAAAAGAAAGATGTATAAAAGAAAATAGTAGTAGAGATGTGAATATAAAAGTATCGTCCGATATTCATTCACATGGTTATTCGTTCGTATATACACTACTGATCTTTGCTTTATTTCTAGCTTATATCATGTTGTTGGTGGCGTACAAAGATTATCAAAAACAAGTAAAAAACAACAACAAATATTCGGTAACTTTTAGACTTTTTTAGGTTCGAGAAACTTATACTCGCTTGATGGCTAATTACAATACGATGAGAAACTTAGAAAAGGAAAAAACAGATTGAATCGGATTTAAACCAAGTTGGTGTTGCATCTGGTGAATATTCATCCAATCCACCTGGTTCTAGTTCTATATCCGGTACACATTCATCAACTCCACCAGATCATGACATTGGATCTGCTGCATATTCGTGGAATTCACCAGGTCATGGTATTGCACCTACTGCATATTCATTGAATTCATCAAGTATTGATCCTACATTTGTTGCATATTCATCCAATCCATCAGCTAGTATTATTGCACCTGGTGCAAGTTCATCGCATCTACCAAGTGCTAGTGCATATCCAATTAATCAAGATCTAGATAAAAAAAAATGAACAGACTTATGCAAATAGAGGGACAAATATTAGAGCTCGAACAAATCATTGGCTTAGCTTTTCAAGTTTTAATTGCAGCGGACCAAGAATTTGGTAATCAATATAGAAAATTAAAATTCCTTTTAATTTTTTAATTTTAGATATGGCCAATTAAAACAAGGTGGTGATGATTCATTTCATGATCCATTTTCAAGGTTAATTTTCGTTACATAGATAAACACTAAATTCTTCGGGTTTTTTTTTGTCTGTAGTTTTTTTGGTGATTTTTTTCATTTTGGTGGTTCGAGAGATGATGGATATAATCAAGTACCACGTGGTGGAGATTTAGTTGTGGATTTATATGTAACACTTGAAGAAGTTTATAATGGAAATTTTATTGAAGTAAGAACTTTTTAAGGAAGACTCCTTCTCAACAAAGAAATTTGTTTTTTTCGAGCATTCAATCTTGATGAAATTTCTAGTGGAGATGTATCTCGAGGTAGAAACCTCACAATAAAAGTTTCAGCTCGATACATTGAATCTACGAAGAATTAGCTTAAAGTTATGGATCAAAATCTAGGTTTTCATGTATCCCAAATTTCTCTGCCATTTTAAATGCTAGAAAGGTCGGGTTGGTTTTAAAATATAGCCAAAGTGTGGTGCTACAAGTTAATAGCGACCGATTTTTGGATTTTCTTCTAGCTTGTGTTTCTAGAAAACTTCTCTAATGAAATACGAAAAATCCAGGGGGGGGGGTGTAGGTTCAGAATGGTTAGTTTTTTTTTATAAATATTAATGGAGAAGATGAAAAATGCAGCTCTGGTAAATTGTAGAGCTAATGTTTGTCTTCATTTTGACACTTAGCTCAGCTTTCTAGCATTTAAAATGGCAGAGGAATCACGGACACACGAAAATGTAAAAATCAAAAGTTTTTAGAAAAAAAAACGTAAATTTCTTCTGTATGAGGGTTCAGAAAAGCCTATACAATAACCTTAAATCTTATCATAAAATCGATAAATTTGGCCAAAATTGACTTTTTTGGGGGTGGTCTTAATTTTATTTTGCATTCTAAAATCAATTATTTAGGTTGTTCGAGCTAAACCCGTAGCAAAACAAACAGCTGGTTCACGAAGATGTAATTGTCGAATGGAAATGCGAACAACTCAAATGGGTCCTGGACGAGTAAGATTTATCAAAAACTTTCTCTTGCAAAAAAATATCTATGATAAAATTGAGATATGTCATATGTATAATGTGAGAAGGTTATGCAGTACAAAAAGAAATATAAGAAGATAAAAGAATCTATTTTCATACACAGATGTCAGAATAAGAATATAGGGTGTCCGGAAAGTCCTTAGAGTTACAAAAATTTGGACATCTCCATTATGGTTGGACTAAACGAGCTCATTTTTCTAACAAAGATTGAGGCATGTTCACACTCCAAATTCATATGGACAAGGGTATTGAGAATCTTTGTTAAGTATCACTATTGACCTTAACAAGAAAATTTTACTGTTTCACAGTTAGGAAAACAAACATTACATAGGATAAGGTAAAAGACACTTTATTGAAAAGACAATTGGCTCTCTTTATTATGGCTTGAGCGAACCAACTGATATTTTTACCCAGGATAGAGGCATATCCACACTCCAAATCCATACTGACAAAGTTAGTGAGAACCTTTGTTAAGTATATGGTTTTTCTTCCTCTCTGTGGAACAGTAAAATTTTCTTGTTAAGGTCAATAGTGATACTTAACAAAGATTCTCAATACTCTTGTCCACATGGATTTGGAGTGTGAACGTGCCTCAATCTTTGTTAAAAAAATGAGCTCGTTTGGTTGAGCCGTAAAGAAGATATGAAAATTTTCCTAACTCTAAGGACTTTCCGGACACCCTATATATTATTGCGGAAGTTATGCATATATGACATAAATATGTGTAATGTTCTTGTATATCTAATAGATAGATATCGAACTGTTTATTTGATCTCTATAGCAGAATAATATGTTTATTGAGAATGGCTTCTTGTTTTAGTTTCAAATGATGCAAGAACAAGTATGTGATGAATGTCCAAATATAAAGTAAAGAAAAATTTGATTGAAATAAATGAATTTAAGAATTTATAAATCTATTCTTTTAAAGATTTGTTACAGAAGAAATGGTATTAGAAATTGAAGTAGAACCAGGTGTAGTTGATGGATATCAAATACCATTTATGGCTGAAGGTTGGTTTTCTAACAGAACTGCTTTGTTTGTTTTTTTTTATTCAATTATGAAAAAAAATATTTTTCGTATTGATTTAGGAGAACCTCATATTGAAGGTGAACCAGGTGATTTGAAAATTATTATTCGTATTCAAAAGTAAATATGAAACTTTTATTTATTTCTTAACTTAAATATTTTGTTTTTCTTTTTTTTGCTTTTAATAGACATGCAAGATTCGAACGTAAAAATAATGATTTATACACAAATTTAACAATAACTCTGGAAGATGCACTTAATGGTTTTGATGTATCATTTCCTCATCTTGATGGACATAATGTAAGATACTATAGTAAATATTTTATATCGAGTGAGGGCATGCACTGAATCTGAACATTTGGATTCGATCTTGATTGCGATCATTTTTAGTTAATTAATAAAAGGAAACAGAAATAATCCACAAAAAAAGGATCTCAAGCTTGACTATAGTAGATCTACACTTAGTGGAAAAAATAATATAAAAAATCGAAGATATGTAGGCATTCGGAAAAAAGCTGTTAACACAATCCTTGCGGGATTAAAATGTGAGATACGATGTAGTTGCTGTTGCTAATCACACGGAGATTGTTTTATTCTATCGAGTTTGAGACACATTCCTTCACCATCCTTTTATTTGATCCTTCAGAAATGCAATAAGGTAGTAGTTCATATATTATAACGAAACGTCATTTTTATACATCTGTGGTGAAGGAGAGATGCTCCTAGGACTACTTCAACACTTCTTTTAGATCCTATTTTACAAAAGATTAATAATGCTCAGATTATAATTGAACTCGAACTCTCAACTGAAGCTTAGAGTGCCTTTGTAATTGTCCCTATACCTCAAGAAACGATTGAGCAAATATTTGATACTGTCCGAGTTGATTGGATAGTTTTCGAATATGGAATCATTCGCCCTAAATATCAAGCTAGAGTTCGGATTAGTTGAATGTCTATATTGTATTGTAAAATAATTGTTCGATACTTCTTTTAAGGTAACAATTAAACGTCAAAAAATTACTTGGCCTGGTGCTCGAATAAAGAAAAAAGGTGAAGGTCTACCACAACATGATCAAACTAATATTGTTGGTGATCTTTATGTTACAATTGATGTTGATTTTCCTAAAGGTGAATTCAATGATGAACAACGAGAAGGTAATTTTTTTGGAAGATTTTTCTTATTAATATACGAAAGATTATTTTGGTTTTTTAGCTATTAAAACTTTATTACAACAAGCATCGAAACATCGATTATATAATGGCTTATAGTCTATTGATCGATTTATATTTGTTGTAATTTTGTTTAGTCTAATATTTGTTTTCTCTTTTTTGTTTTTTTTTTATTTGTCTCTATTGTGATTGTTTATTCATGGATAACTTATTATGTGCTTGCTTTATTTATTTTCTCGATTAAATTAACAGTTCAGAATAAAATAAAACCTGGTGAATTTATGTGATCTTTTTCGTTTTGTTTCTATTCTGGTCTGATAATCAAGTAGTTCTATTTTAAAAAATTTTCTTCTTTATTCATGTGTTATATAGTTAGTTTCAAAAGAAATATTATGACATACATATATATATATATATATTTATATGCTTTTTTATGATACAAAGTCCATGTTTGACAATTAATTCAGACAAAAAAAAGCTGCAAATGATTTCTTCTTTTAATTTTAATGTTCTAGTGTTTGCTTTTTGTTTAAGTAATTTGATGAAGTTTCAACAGCAAAATAAAACTTAATATTTAAAGATAAGTTCATTTGTTATAAAAATGCATCGAAATAGTCAATTCAAATCATACAATATATGATATATTTTTATATTTTGGATTTAAGACTTAATCATAAATTCTATTCAAATTTAGTTTTCGGAAATCTCTTTATAAAACTTTCAGAAAGAGATTCTCTATATCTGTCAGTAACTTTCTAGCTAGACTAACGTTGCATTTGTCCAGAAATTAGGGAACTCTTCATTGTACATCTCTATTTTTTTCATACAACACGATTCATATCAATCTAGCTAGTGTCGAGAGACGCAAATATCAAGGCGCAATTGAACCACACATACTCCTTACGAAAGAAAAATCCAATTGTGTCATTGCACAAGCCTACGTTGTAGGAAGAAAAAACAACATGTATTTCGATAGAGAAAATGACTTCAGCAATTGTTACACCTGTGCATATATCCTAGGAAGGAGCGAAATATCGATATATTCGAAATCCGAGTGTTTCAACGGAATGACACCGACGGTCAATATTGGTGAACAAGTTGTTAGCCAAGCAATAACTAGGCCAAGAGTAGCTATATCCATAAGTAGTATTGACTATAAACGTATTTGGAATGACGAAAATGTGCCCCGAGAATTCTTCTGTCCTATCTGTACGTGTTTACTATAACAACTACGTTCCTATGAATTATGCTAGAATTTGTTCTGCAAGGCCTGAATTTCAAAGTGAGTCCAGATAAATACGAGCTGTCCATATGGATGTGAACAGTACGAGAATAAACGTTGTCCACCGTCGATTCGGTGTCTATTGTCCAAAACATCTAGATTCGATGTCAAAGTGTCTAATGCGGCTGTAATGCTGCGCTTTCTGATGACACATTAGAGGTGCATCAAACAAACCAATGTGCATATCCCTCTACTGAATGCCACTATTGTGAGAGTCTTATGCTAGTGAGTGCAATCGAAGCTCATGAGCAAGAATGTGGCCAAAGATTTTCAAGCTGTCATATATGCAATTGTTTCATTCCATTGTATTTGTTGCAACAGTCTTGTATCCTAGTGAACTCGCAACACTACTTGCAAACCATTAATCAATTGCAGAACTTAACACAGCCCGCCTACATATTTCAAGCTGACACTCCAATACAGGACCTGAGAATTATATTAGGAAGCTTTTTCGCTTTTACCCCCAGAAGAGCGAGATATTCAGGAGCGATGCCATAATTTAGTTTGGTGGCGCCATTTTTTATCTTTAGCTTGTCTTATTCTTAAGAATTCGTTCGATGCCTCCCACATCCTCCTTACTGTGTTGGAATTGCTGCATATCTACTGCTTTATATTCAATAGAAGAAAGTATAAAAGCAGTTGTCTCGTCAGGGCAATATACAATTCTATTTTTTGAACGTAATGCAATAAATAGATAAGATGATATGAACAATTGTTGTTGTGAACAGCAACTCACTTTTAATACGAGATTTTCTCTCCACAGATGGCTGACATTTTCTGTGCCATACCTGATCGTGTAAGAACTACAATTTACACTGAAGATTTTTATTCAAATAATATTTTTACAAAATTAAACTGATAACAAAGGAAAATAACGATATACATTGTCTGTATATACCATTGAATTATCAACAATTAATCGTTTCACTTTCGCACAATTACGTCGCATTTGATCTTTTGTAAAGTTTTCTGTCACAACGTCCAAATGCATATAAGTGACTTTTAATTCAGTCAAATGCGGCAAATGTGTCTTTGTTTCATTGAGAAATTGTTCGACATAACAAACATTTGCACATTCGATATCAAGTGAAATAAGATGCGGATACTCAACGATCGAGCACCAGTCTTTATCACGAAGGTGGTAACTTTGACCGAAAAACGATGGTAAAATATTAAAAAAAGATAAATTTTTAAGGAATGGAAAAGCTCGAGTAAGTCGAATGAAAAATTCATATTTGAATGGATCTTTGTCCCATAATTTTAAATGAGTAACAGAATTAAATATAATGTTTGGAAGGTTATTTCCGATGTGTTCGAGAAGATGAAATTTAAATGGGAGTGAAAAAACGCGACATATCATTTTGTAAGGCTCGAAATAATCTACCATGCAAGCTACTTGCCAGCGTCCTAGATTTTTGAAAGTACGTTCAATATCCTCCGAATGAAGTAGATGATTAGTTGAATCAGTAATGACATTTTGAGAAGCTATATAAAATGTAAAACTATGAAGTTGTGGCAGATGAATAAGAATTTCATTATCAAGATAAGTGCCACTAATGAATGTCGATCCATCAAAATCATGAAGATACAAAGTTAATTCTTCTAGATGTTTCATTCGATGAAGAAGTAGAATTAGATTATCAAATCCATTGAAACTCCGATAACACGTTAATGAAAAACATTTTAAATTAGGAAGATCATTCTAAAAAAATAGAATGACAAATATTTAGAAATTCATCTTTATTATTTCAGTTAAGAAATTTACATCAATCATTAACATATCAATATTAGTTACTTTAAAAATATTGTTTTGTCATGTTTCATATGTTCTATTCAATACATCTGTTATCTATTAACCACGACGACAAAGATGTTTACATGCTATTTATTAAATACTCACATATAGAAACTAGTGAATAATTCAATAAAACTATAAAATAATATATAAGAAAAAGAATTTTCTCAGCGAGTTTCAAAGCATTTAGTTAGATTCATATTAAAGAAGTTAGAAAATTATTATTAAAATCAATAGTTCTTTTAAATATGTTCATTTCAATACTAAGAGTTTCTAACGATCAGAAGACAACTCAACTGTCGAAATTTATCTAAGAAACAGCTTTATTTAATTTATTTTAAAATAGATGAATGAGTTCAATACAACTTTAAATAAAAAAATATAAAACAAAATATATTCTATCCGATCATTCAATAACTACAAAGATTAATAAATAGCTTTCACATGAGCTATAATTAATTATCAATTCGAAATAACGTCAAAACATTAGAACAATCTATCCCGAATTATTTCTTAATAATCAAAATTAAAACATTATGAGTAATGCAGAAATCTAATTATTTCTTGCACTTCCAACAAACTTCATCTTATCTTCAATGTTAAACACTAATCAAGAAACGAGAATAATGTGGAGTATAAACTCACCCTATTGTAAGATATTGCCATCCAATCGATGATATGTTCAACTTGAACAATGAGTGTAGTTAATTGTTTGAGTCGACCATCAAGCAAAGCACAAACATCATAAAAATTATATACATTGATAGATAATTTAGTAAGTGTTGAAGAGGAAAATGTGTGTAACGGTAAATCCAGCAACGCCAAATATGGACAATTGTCGATAAGTGATTGTGCGACAATCGTCAAACATTTCAAGTTTTCAAAGAAACTTAAGATAACTGCATAAACATTCTTGGTATATGCTCCTTCTTTTGTTTTAATATCTTCATTTATGTTAAGAATGAGATTCGTTATTTGTTGTTTAAAAATATGTTGAAAAGGAGTATCATCTAAACAAAAAACATAGATATCGTTAAATCTAAATCTCTCAGTTTTTTTTCTATGTCAATCTTTGAACAGATCAGTAAAAGTGAATTTCTTACCTATGAAATAACGTGACACAACTGCTTTGTTGAAATTGAAAATTTCAAGGTCTGTAAGATTAGAATAATAAGCAGCACGAAGAATACATTCCATAGAATCGGAATCAAGAATAAGAGATTTGATATTACTATGAATTCTTGGTAATATTGAAACACAAAACTCATCGAGTATCGAGTTAGAAATTGATGAAATTTCATTAGTTGATTGTGATATAGAAAAAAAATTAAGAGTAGTGGTGAAGATTTGGTCTTGTACTACAATGTCAAGTCGTCGGTTGTTTACATCTAGTAAAGAGTAAAGAACTTCAATATTGTCAAGTTTTTTCAAAATAAGAAATAATATTTCAATAGGAAGATCAAGAAGATTAACATTGTACCCATTCATATTTAAATGTGATTGTAATGCATATCATAGCACGATATATATACCTATGTATCAATACTTTGTTCACAAACACTCTCATTGGAGGAAAAAGGTTGACCTTTTTTTATTGAGCGAAGATATAATTATTTTTTTCTATAGTCGAATATCTTCGCAGACGGATGTTTTTTTTTCTTTTGTTTTTGTTTATTCTAAGGTGAACGCGGTAGCGTGTATCTATATAAATAAATGAAAAAAGGGTACAACTGCAGAATAACGACACCGTGGCACCCCACACTCTTTGATGTGCCTCAGTCATTTAAATATATTAGTGTAGAGGGTGTCGTTCTTCTGCAGTTGAACCGAAAAAAGCATCCGTTAAACAAAATGGAAAATGAAAGATGATCAATTGTCAGATGTCAGATTCTATCATCTAATAGTGATTATTTTATTGAATAAATCATAAAACGTCATGGTACAATATTCTTATGTTCATACAAGAAAAAATGTTTATCTATAAAATGTGCAAGTCGAATTTTGTTGACCCAATAACACTTT